GGGTCGTGGAGTCGAGCCCTGCACTCGTCAGGGAGTCAGCTGGAGATCTCTTTCTCTCCCGCTGCCCCGCCCCCTCTCTTATAAGTAAAGCCTTAAAGATTTTTATTTCTTTAGAGAGCTGGGGGAGGGGAGGGACAGAGGGAGAGGAAAGAGCGTCCTAAGTAGACTCCGTGCTGAGCATGGAGCCCAATGTGGGGCTCCACCCCACAGCCGTTAGATCATGACAGAACGGAAATGGAAAGTCCAAGCTCAACTGAGCCACCCAGGCACTCCATTTTTTGAAAGATTTTATTTATTAAGATTCTCTCTCCCTCTGCTCCCCACCCTCCAACCTGCACTCTCTCAAACAAACAAACAACAAAGAAAGAATACATCATAGTTCCTAAACTGGGACCTACTTTTTTTTTTCTATTTTAAAAGAAATGATGTAAATGGATTCTCTGAAACAAAGGCACATTTTGAAGAGGAAATGTGCTCACAGTTTGGGGAAATCTCAAAGGATTTAATACATGCTTACAGAAAGATTGGCACAGTCAGGATGTCAACAATGCTTTTCTACTGAGGGTCAGGACTGTGGCCAAAATAGTTATCCTAAGAACAAGAACCATTCTTGATAGGTGTGTATACAAATCCGGAGGTTACTCCGACTCTGAACAATACTAGGGATCAGAAGTCCTAAGCGAACTAAAATTCCCTGAGAACAGGACCTTCCAGATATCCTGGAGATAGGTTGACTCGTTATCTCTAAGCCATGCGGACTGGTGAGATTAGTGGTTCTCTAACGCAGTCCACAGGAGTCTGGAAGGGGGTCTACCTGTTAATCTTATGTAATATGGATGCCTACATTATGATAATGTCGCACACTGTTCTGTCATCCTCTTAGACATCAACCACTATAGACTCTGCCTCCAGAGTCTCTCCATGTCATCCTTTTCATTTCCACTGCCATCACCTAAGCACAGTTCACCTATAATTCTTGCCTGTCACATTGTAGTACCTCCTAATTTTATTCGCTTCCAATCCTTTTTCCCTCAATCCATTCTAAAACCCACAATTAGAATACTGAACCTAAATTACAGCATACATCACAGTACTCTAGTGCTCCGTGGATCCCAACTGCCTGAGAAAGTTCAAAGCTCTTTGACCTACTCTCAAAGCCCTCAGTGGTTATCATCCATCCTACTTTTCTAGCCTTTACATAGCCTGTATTAGCAAACATTCAGATTCATCCATTCAACAATGGAGTGTCTAGGTATGGCTAGGGTTACAGAGGGAAACACAGTAAATGTCCCCATTAAGTGGACAGCCAGTGGAAGAGACAAATAAAACTGAAGAGTAGCCAGGATGGGAAAAGGAAAACCAGGACAGTGAGGTGCTCTAAAAGCACATAAAGAAAGTGTTTCAGGGGCGCCTGGGTGGCTCAGTGGGTTATGCCTCTGCCTTCGGCTCAGGTCATGATCCCGGGGTCCTGGGATCGAGCCCCGCATCGAGCTCTCTGCTAAGCAGGGAGCCTGCTTCCCTTCCTCTCTCTCTGCCTGCCTCTCTGCCTACTTGTGATCTCTCTCTGTCAAATAAAATAAATAAAAATCTTAAAAAAGAAAGAAAGAAAGAAAGAAAGAAAGAAAGAAAGAAAGAAAGAAAGAGTTTCAAGGGAGTGATCATTAAAAAAAAAAAAAAAGGAGTGATCGACCACATCAAATACTGTGAAAGGTCAAGTAAAATGAGAACTACAAATTGACCCCCTGGAATTTGCCAGTGTGGAAGTCACTGATGACAGGACAAGAATGGTTTCAGTGGAATAGTGACAATGTTGGTTTGAATGGGGTGGGTTCAAGACACAAAGCTGGTAAGGAGGTTGAAGATGACTGGCATAGGGGCGCCTGGGTGGCTCAGTGGGTTAAAGCCTCTGCCTTAAGCTCAGGTCATGGTCCCAGGGTCCCAGGGTCCTGGGATCGAGCCCCGAGCTGGGCTCTCTGCTCAGCAGGGAACCTGCTTCCTCCTCTCTCTCTGCCTGCCTCTCTGCCTACTTGTGATCTCTGTCTGTCAAATAAATAAATAAAATCTTTAAAAATAAATAAAGATGACTGGCATAAAGGAGAGAATCAAAGAATCTGGGTTCTAGGAAAGGCTTTTTGAGGATGTGAGAGAGGACATCAGGTTTGTATGTTGGCAGCAATGATTCAACAGAGAGAAACTGACACAAGAACGTAAACGGATAGGGGCGCGGGGGTGGCTCAGTCCATCAGGCGTCTGGCTCTTGGTTTTGGCTAGGTCATGATTTCAAGATGGTGAGCTCCAGCTCAGTGTGGACTCTGCTTCAGATTCTCTCTCCCTCCCCCTCCTCCTCTGCCCCGCTCACACATGTGCATACTCTTTCTCTCTAAAAATAAAATCTTTAAAAAAAACAAAACAAAACAAAACATAAAGGGAAAACTGCAAGTACTTGAGACAAAGAAGTGAGATCCAATGCACAAGTGAAGAGGCTGGGCAGGAAGGGTTCATTTATTTTACCCATACAAAAAAACAGGCAGAATGGTGGCAGGAATAAATTAGTAGATTTGGTGGTGAGAAATGAAGTTTTTCTCTTTTGTTTGCTTCCATTTTCTCAGTGAAGTAAGTTAAACAGTTGAGAATGAGGAGGGCAGGAAGGAACATTGGAGGTTTGGGGACAGAAGAGAAGGTGTGCCATAGTCATCTTGGACCATAATGGAGTGAACTGAAGAAATGCAACAGGAATGCTGAGCACTTGAGATTTCTGGCTGTAAACTTAAAATGAAACCAGCAATGCATTTCCTTTTTCAGCCTTTAGAAAGATAAAGCATTTGCACTTGCTGTTTCCTCAATCTCTCTCCCCTTGTCTAGCTGATAAAATTGCATTCTAGAAAGCCCACTAAAAAAAGCTATCTTCCATAAGGTCATCTGGCTCTCCTAGCCCAAAGTGATTTTTCCAACCTCTCAACTCGAAAAATAAATTGTTGATGCCTTCTAGAGAGCATATATTTCATCTCACATGGTTAGTACTGCGCAAGATTAAAAGTTTCATAAACTAGGGGCGCCTGGGTGGCTCAGTGGGTTAAAGCCTCTGCCTTCGGCTCAGGTCATGATCCCAGGGTCCTGGGATCAAGCCCTGCATCTGGCTCTCTGCTGGGTGGGGAGCCTGCTTCCTCCTCTCTCTGTCTCTGCCTGCCTCTCTGCCTACTTGTCTGTCAAATAAGTAAATAAATCTTTTTTAAAAAAAGTTTCTTAAACTAGAGAAATGATTCTTTTTAAATTTTTATTTAAATTTTAGTTACCATACAGCGCAATATTGGTTTCAGAATTCAGTGATTCATCACTTACACATAACACCCAGTGCTCGTCACAAGTGCCCTCTGTAATGCCCATCACCCACCTAGCCCATCCCCCACCTACCTCCCTCCATCAACCCTGTTTGTTCTCTGTCATTAAGTCTCTTATGGTTTGTTTCCCTGTCTCCTTTCCCCCCCCTTCCTATACTTCCATCTGTTTTGTTTCTTAAATTCCACATGTAAGTAAAATCATATGGTATTTGTCTTTCTCTGATTGACTTACTTCACTTAGCATAATACGCTCAAGCTCCACCAACACTGTTGCAAATGGCAAGGTTTCATTTTTTGATGGCTGAGTAATATTCCACTGTGTGTGTGTCTACCACATCTTTATCCATTCATCAGTCGATGGACATTTGGGCTCTTTCCATAGTTTGGCTGTTGTTGATAATGCTGCTATAAACATCAGGGTGCATATACCCCTTTGAATCTGTATTTTTATACCCTTTGGGTAAATGCCTAATAGTGCAATTGCTGGATCACAGCATAGTTCTATTTTTAGTTTTTTGATGAACCTTCATACTGTTCTCCGGAGCGGCTGCACCAGTTTGGAGAAACCATTTCTTATTCATTACAACCACGGGGTATTTCTCTCCATCCTCTCTGCCACATATTATAAATCCCCATGGTTCTAGTTCTTGCCCAAATACATAATTATGGGATATAGGTGCCCTATTTCCTTATTAAACTGTGATATTTTGGGGAACAGGAACCTTGCTCACCTTTCCAGCTTATGTGCCTCAATCACCTGGCTCTTGAATTTTAGGTATTATGATTATTTCTACAGATGTTTTTAACCAAAAAAGGGGTTGCTTCCTTTAATGTCAACTCACACATATGGCACACAGCAGGATCCCTATCCTCAAGAGGTTTTTACCCCTAGAATCAAAAGTGCCTCATAGTAAAAAAATAAAAGGTGTCCGGAGTCTCGGAATAGGTGCCAGTAAAGTAAGGCTTACACATAAATAACCAGAGACCGTGGAGCAAAGATGGGGGATGAGAGGAAGCAAGTAGGGAGGCAGGAATAAAATGTACCAGGGGCAGAACAATTTCATTTAGTCAACTTACATATAAATGATCCATAGGGCAGTTCTTGGAGCGTCCCCATCTCCAAACAATGTTGCACTGAGAGCAAAGGTTGTGCAAAATAACTTCAGGTCCCCAACAGTGCCCCTAAGGACCCGTATAGCTAGACTGTTGCTCCCCAGCCGTGCCAGAACTGCCCCATCCCCTCTCCTCAATCTCCGAGTGATTCAATGGGTTAAGACTTTGGTACCGGGAAAAAAAAGCCTCTGCCGCAGAAGCAACAGCGGGGGCTCGAAACCAGGTGTTTGGGAAGGAAAGCGAGGAAACCATTAGCAGGCCCAGACCCGCACCTGCGAAAAACTAGAACCCAAGAATCTAAGCGTCCGCGCCGCCCTTACGTAACCGGTCGCGCTCCCCTCGGGCGCCGGAAGACCCCGCCCAGCCCTTAAGCCCCGCCCCTACCTCTACCGGCCGGTGAGGTGCCGTGCGCAACCTCCGGAAGCTGCCGCCCCTTTCCCCTTTTATGGGACTACACTTTTTTTTTTTTTTTTTAAATTTGCTGACGCCACCATAGGACTGGCCCTAAAACCAAGATACAGAAGCTCCTCTCACAGTCCTACTTCCGCTTCCTTCCACCGAGGGGTTAGGGCCATCCCCCATTTTTCTCACCTAGGAGGCGGCGGCGGCGTCGGCAGCTTGCGATGTTTGGCCTCAAAAGAAACGCAGTAATCGGACTCAACCTCTACTGTGGGGGGGCCGGGTTGGGGGCCGGCAGCGGCGGCACCTCCTCTTCGGGAGGGCGGCTTTTGGCTTCGGGGAAGGAGGCCACGGCCCGGCGGGAGGTAGGGGGAGGGGAAGCCGGTGCGGTGATTGGCGGAAGCGCCGGCGCGAGTACCCCGGCCACTCTCGCGCCGGACGCCCGGAGGGTCGCGCGGCCCTCGCCCATTGGCGCCGAGGGCCCCAACGTCACGGCGACCCCCCCGAGGCTGCTGTTCTTCGAGCCCACCCGCCGCGCGTCGCCGCCTGAAGAGATGGAAGGCCCAGCTGCCGACGCCATCATGTCGCCCGAAGAGGAGCTGGATGGGTACGAGCCGGAACCTTTGGGGAAGAGGCCTGCTGTCCTGCCTTTGCTGGAGTTGGTGGGGGAGGCCAGCAGTGGCCCCTGCGCAGACGGCTCACTGCCCTCGACGCCACCCCCAGCAGAGGAGGAAGAAGACGAGTTGTACCGGCAGTCCCTGGAGATAATCTCTCGGTACCTGCGGGAGCAGGCAACGGGCGCCAAGGACGCGAAACCACTGGGCGGGCCTGGGGCTGCCAGCCGGAAGGCGTTAGAGACCCTCCGACGGGTCGGGGACGGGGTACAGCGCAACCACGAGACGGCCTTCCAAGGTAAGGGGGTTAGTCTCCGAGGCTGCACTGCCTTGTTTCACCTGTCCCTGGACTCACCCACCAAAGGTGGGTGGAAACCGAAAACAAGTCAGTGTTGAAATGACTCGTAATCTATTTCTGAACCCAGAATTTTCTGGCCGTGAGTCATTGTATCCGCCCATCTTAATTCTTTTGGAAATGGCAGCTCTGTTCAAAGCCCGGAAAGGGTGGGATGTCAGTTTTCAACTGGGGTCGGCCTAAGTTCTATAGACCCCAAATAGCGATTTCCCCCGCCGTGGGTGGGCGGACAAATCATGCCCTGGTTTAGACAAAGGAGGCCGTGAGAACCTGCATGCTTTTCTTCCTCTCAGGCATGCTTCGGAAACTGGACATCAAAAACGAAGAGGATGTCAAATCTTTGTCTCGAGTGATGGTCCATGTTTTCAGTGACGGAGTAACAAACTGGGGCAGGATTGTGACTCTTATTTCTTTTGGTGCCTTTGTGGCCAAACACTTGAAGAGTATAAACCAAGAAAGCTGCATCGAACCATTAGCAGAAAGCATCACAGATGTTCTCGTAAGGACAAAACGAGACTGGCTAGTCAAACAAAGAGGCTGGGTAAGTTTGTTTTAAGGTTGAAGAGGGGTCTTGGAGTGGAAATGGAATGAAGGATTTTATAGAGAAAGTCTGGGGCGCTCTAAAGCATTTTAGGATGCACAACTCAGGTTTCAGCCTCCAACTTAGGATCTCTGTTTGGCTAACGTTGATTTAAGTAGTGAGTTCACAGAGATAGTGTGTATGATCGACTTGAATTATTTCATCAAAAATCCGGTTTTCTGTAGGCTATTTTACTGGGTGTTGAGTCTTTTGCTTTTGGTATTGTAATTCGACTGGATACTTTTAAGTGGATTCAAATTATGAAAAAACTAATCCCTTGAGGATAATAGTAAACCAAATTTCTGAGAGCTGCGCTGCAAACCGCCCCCCCCCCAAATGAATGTGTCTTTTGTAGGCTGGGTAAATAATAATTGGTTCATTATGTTTTGAGGGGGGCAGAACTTTAGATTTTTTAAATTCTTTTCTTTATGAATAGTGTTTTTAAGCCAACGGAAACCCATACTTGAAAATGTGCTTTTCTTTTTTGTTTTCTAGGATGGGTTTGTGGAGTTCTTCCATGTAGAGGACCTAGAAGGTGGCATCAGAAATGTGCTGCTGGCTTTTGCAGGTGTTGCTGGAGTAGGAGCTGGTTTGGCATATCTAATAAGATAGCCTTTTAAGTGCAATAACTGACTTTTAACCAACCCCATGCAACAAAAACATGTGTGACTGCTGTGAAATCAAATGTATTTATGAAGTTGGACTTTGAGCTGTCCAGGCTGTAACCTCCGAGAGTTCTCCAGCAACGTAGAACAGCAAGTGGCAAGAGGATTATGGCTAACGGGAATAAATACATGGGAAAAGTAGTCCCCCTTGAAGAGTCACTGTCTAAAAGAAGCAAAGTTCAGTTTCAGCAACAGGCAAACTTTGGGAGGCCATGGAGAAGAACTTTTAGATTTAGTGAAGATGGTAGGGTTGAAGAGACTTAATTTCCTTGTCTAGAACAGGAGAGTGGCCAGTAGCCAGGCTAGTCATAGAGTCCATTAAATATGTCCACTGAATTCATTAACTTCTTAAAGTGTTAAAAGAGAAGCACTAACAATGGCATTGATCTGTATAAAATGGATTTAAGCTACAGGTATTAGAACTATGACTAGAAGCCTCAGTACTGTACAACAGAGTGTGAAGGGAAGCTTTTTCTCTGCAATTAGCCTTCCCAGGTATACTTCTTGAATGGAAAGTCCCAAGGGTTCAGGACTTTTATACCTGTTCTACTTTGGCTTGGTTGAGTGGTTTAGTTTATTAGCCTAGTAATGGCCAAGAATACTTGACTTAAGGCTCAATAATCACAGTTGCAAATATGAGAATATCCTCAATTTTTAAGGCAAAAACAACTTGTAAATGTATTGTCTGTAAAAATTGTATATATTTTTACAGAAAGTCTATTTCTTTGAAATGTAAAGGGATGAAGAGTCTCGAAATACATTAGTTTTTTCATACCCGTTTGAAATTTACAACTTCTGTAGTTAGGAATCTATTTCTTACAGCTTTTCTATTCTAAATTTTGTCCTGGTCAGTTCTAGATTGTATACAGAACCAATCGGTGTAGTTGTACACAACTTGGTTGTAATGGAACAATACTGATTCATAACTATGCAGACTTTAATTTTCCTATCTGGTTGGTAAGTATTCCTCAGTTTTTGTTTTTGTTTTTTTAAACTTGGGATTGAGAAATTGAGGAGTGGAAATTCATCCTTTCACCTCCTTACATGCGGGTTTTCAATAATTGAGTCAAAGTGGAGTTTAAGTTTGGGGCAGGGGGCACATGTGGGCTGATGACTTACAAAATAATGGGCTCTGGTTGGTGAGTAACTACTCACTTGAGTTCCTTATATTTGACCTAATTTAACTGGTGAAATTTAAATTGAATTTATGAGCTCATCTTCAAAACTTCTGCTAAAAGATTTTCAGCTGTTCCAAGTGGGACTTACTAACAGTATGTATATAAAAAGATCACATCAGTCGATGAGAGATATTTGATCCCTTGTTTGCTTAATAAATTGTAAAATGATGGCTTGGAAAAGCAGGCTTACACTCTAACCATGGTGCTATTATTAGGCTTGCTTGTTTAAACACAGGTCTAAGCCCTAGTATATGAATAAAACAAATACTTATGTTTCATTTCTATTAATGATTCCCAAACTTTGTTTCAGATTTTTGTATTGGCATCTCTTTGGATTTCAGACTTGACATGTTATTGAACCTGACTCTTTATTTTCTGTCTTTGCTGCTTAATTCTCCCTCTATAGATAGTTATTTCAGTTCTTAATATCCTTACCCTGCCATCCCTGAACTCCTACTAGCCCTTTTAATTTTTGGCACTATGAACCCTACGTAAGCCCCTAAACCCCCACCCCAGGAGACCAGAGACCTTCATCCTTAATGAATTTTATTCTTGGGATGTGGTAGTACAGTGGGTGCCATGGCCATAACAGTCATGTGGTAGGTGGAGTCCCTTTTCCTTGGATTGGTACCTTTTCAGTTGCTTCATCCGGTCTTGGGGGGGAAAGTTTTAAAAGCCCCTTTAGGAATTTAGGAATTTAGGAGGGGACAGCAAATTATGTGACTTTCTGTAGGTTCCTTTGCGTTCAAAAATGCTCATTTAAAATCACAGACGGGCTCTGTTAACTTCAAAGAGTTACATAAAAGCTACTGGTAAACTGAAGAAAGCTTCTATAGTAGACCTAGGGTCATTTGAAAGCTTCATCCATAGAACATGACCTTTAGTCTATGGACTCCAGATGAAAATAGGTATGAATAAAATGACTAAGAATGTAATAGGGAAAGATTGCCCTGCCTGCCCAGCATCGAGCCATAAGGTCATCTAGCTAGAGCTATTTTTACCTATGTATTTATCATTCTTGATCATGAACCATTTATTTATGTCAGGTTTATCTCTAAGGACCTAAAAGCACTTTATGTAGTTTCTAATTAATCTTAAAATCTGGTAAAGGTGACTAAAAGGCCTGTCTCCCCATATGCAGTTGTGGAAATAAGCACATAGATGTAAATTGGAGGAGTTTAGGGAACCCACCTCCCTATTTACTAGGTGTTAACTGCTGAAATGTAGAGGAGGATGTTAGTTGAAACTTTGGGTCGGGCTCTCAGGGCTTAGGGAGCCCAAGTGCTTTAGGGAAGGGTGGGTGGTTTTCTAGGGAGAGGAGGAGGCACGTGTTCTAAGTGCTGACTAGCTGCATAGTTCAAGCAAATCCTCCAGAATGGAAAGGGAGGGGCTGCTTGGTAAGCTGGCTCTCAGCAACTTGTCTTATGCTTCTCTCAGGGAAAAACATGCAATCCTCTAGTGTCCATGTACACTCTGTTGGGGGTGAACACCTTGGTTCTGTTTAAAACCGCTAATGCTGTTGACAGCTGTGCCAGGAAGGGTTAGGACCAACTACAAATTAATGTGGGCTGTAAAATGTAGTGTGTTTCCCTAACTTCCTGTTTTTCCTGAGAAGAAAATAATAAATCTTTTATTCAAATGCAAGGTGTGGTACGGGTGTTTTCTAATCCATGACTGTCTTCCTTCCCCCACTTAGACAAGCCTTTTAAGGAAGTCCGGCTGAGCAAATAAATACAGGTGAATTAACAAGCAAAAGCCTCATAAAGCTGATTTGCTTTAGAGCAAAGGATGGTTCCCTTCCAAATAACTCCTTCCTTCATTCAAATTAGAGGTATTGGGTTTTGAAATGTATTAACTGCTGTAATTCGTACATTTTAACAATCAAAATCCCTGTCCTGATTTTTCTTGTAGTCACCATGAGCTGGTTCATTACTGTGGTTCCTCTGTTCCCCATCTCTGCCTTCTTAGATGAAGGAGCTAGAAGAATTAGTACCCACAGTTAAGAGTTTTGATAAGGTTCTTGGTACTTTCCCCCTTCGTCTCCTAAAAACAAAGGTGAGAATAAGTACATTAATTTCAGAAACCCTATCCTGTCTTTTTTATTTTCAGCTACCATGAAAGCTGAATCACCATGGAAATGTGCAAATGCAAAGTTTGCATATTGGTTTCAAGCCCTGAGCACCATTACTTTGTACGAAGAGTATAAACAGGATTCTGTGCTTTTGTGCATTTAGAAGTTCATTTCTGCTTGGAAGCCCCTCTTTTTCTGGAGCCTAACTACTAGGAGATGGCAACTTTTTATCGTTACAGAGCTGTTACACACTAGTGCTCTCCTAAGCAGAGGGTTGGAGGGAGGGTAACATTGGACCCAAGGGTCTGAATCTGGGCCCTTGTTGAGTTCTGTGCAGTGCAGTCGCTCCATTGATAGGTTGTGCTGTGAAGCCAGTTCTGTAGTTGAACATTGGCTTAAATGGGTAACTAGGTAACAAGTCACTGAGGGAGTCAAAGTAATCAACACTTCCCTTCATTGGACATAACCAGACTTTGTCTTTCAGTTCCTGTTTTGTGACTTTAGAGCTCTTGCTTCATACGGTTTCCTTTCAGAAAATGTTAAAGCAGTTGTGACAGCTGGTATATTTTACAAAAATTAAAGTGAAATAACTTGCACAACTGGTGTGTTGCATGGCTCCAGCCAGATGCTCAGAGCATGGGCTGTTAATTCCTGGAGTTCAAAATGGTCTGCTGTCTTAATTTATCGCTAGTTCTTTTTGGCCCCACTAGTTCAGTGATTACAGAACTTTGTCTTCTTGAATCCTCCCACACTGTTCAAAGGCTTCTCATTTTCAAGATTTGAAAATTTAACTGGACCAGCTTTGTAGTTTCATAGTTGTTACAGTGTTATCTTAGTTATGTGAAGCATGTGGGAAGATGGGGGTTGGGAGTGCAGATGGAACAGGCATCTGAGGATTC